GTCAATTTTTCGACTCTGTTGCCGTTAAAGCAATTTTAAACTGACATTTTCCCCATTCGGTAGCGACATGGTCACCCTGAAAAATATCTCTACTTCAAACAGTACTTTCCTGACCCTTTTGCCTGAAAACTTTCAAAATAACATTAGCTGAAGCCCCCAGTGGGGGCCATATGCCCAGGAGTACCTCTCCTTTATTTACCGGCTCCCGTGGCGTTCCTATAAGCGCCGGGGTGGGGTTAGAATATTTTTCCTTAACATTGTCGTTAAACCTACTTTAAACTGACCTCGTGTCATACATTCGGTAACGACGTGAACGAACTGAAAAATAAAATATAACTCTATAATATAGATTAAATTATTTAAATTAATTGAATCAATATGGATTACTATGTAATTATAAACTTAAAATATCGTAAATAATACCGTGTTGCTTTTCCACAAGCTTTGAATACTAGCAGAATTCATTGAGGCATGTACTGAAAAGTTCATAGGCTGAACCAGGTACTCTCATAGAATAGGACCCAACGAGGTTTAATTTTCAGCACAGTCCCACTTGAGGTCCACACATTTTTTCTTTTAGTGTTGCAGTGCTTGGATCCAATGGATGAAGAAACTTTCATCCTGTTCGTAAAAAAAGTCATCGACAACAGATAAGACAGCATCACTACAACACTGTTTTCACCCGAATGTTGGGGAACAGATGATCGTCAAATAAGGAGAATAGGTAGGGAGATCAACCAATCCTAAGCCACAATTAAGCACAGCAGTCATTGAAACTTGTGTGATGGAGACACTTTTAGTCAGTTTTCCTGAGCGTTTCGTCTTGATATCCTTTCGTAAACGCCTCAGCAATTTGCCATGGTACTCGACATTGATGCTGTGTCTCTTTTGAAGATAGTCAATAAACACACTTCCATTTGCATCCCAAAAACTGAGATCATCACACTATTTACATTACTCGGACTATTGTCCATATCTTTGTTGCCATATTTATTACAACGTTTCGCCCATTGTAAGCTCCGGCCTTCTTCAGGTGGTTGGAATGTCGAACAGAACCCTTTATTCGCTCACTGGGCGAGACGGTTCTCATTCCACGTGCCATGTTTTTAATAGATGTCAGTTGTCAGTTATCTCCTGTTAATTCCCCTCTCCAAGTTCTCTACTGCCTTAACCGGTATTAAACTCACACTCTTTGTGTCCTGTCACTGGATCTAACTAACGACTTTATCCACTGTGCCATGTCTCCTTGAAGACATCTGTGTATGGATTTCTGGGGATTATAAACCTAATGTCATCAGCAGCTATTTTTACCAGTGCTCATATTGCAATTTTTGCTGTTATCATTCCATGTTTTTACCAGATCTGATATTGCAAATATGGCCACAAATATGAGGACAATAGTCCGAATAATGTAAATAGTGTACATAATACCTCATCTCAGAAATATAGACAGATACTGAGATAATCACCTTCACTGCACATGAACCGACATTGGGCTTCTTTGAGGTAGATCTGTAGGGGTGTTTCCACCGAATGGATTGTCTCCAAGCAGAAACCTTCGTCATGCCAAGTTCATTGTGAAGAATATTCTGAACTCTCTCACTGGATATGCTTATAAAATTGGATATTTGATTTATAGTCAGTCCCCTGTTATCCATCACCATGAGGTGAACACGATCAATGTATTCATCCGTGGTGGCAGTTGCAGGATATGCAGACTTAGGGTCATTTTCCCCGAATAAATTCAGTTGCCCACTTTTGGCATGTTGTCCATTTTCAAGAGAAGCTGCTAAAATTTCTTTTTGAAGTCTTCTTTGAACTGTCAGATGTTAGTTCAACTGGAAAGGAACAATGCAGTTCTTAATAAGGTCAAATAATGCTGGTAACAATTCATAGCTCTCGCATCATTCCTTTATAGTCAGCCTCTGAACTTTTCAGCCCACTCTCGTACTTAAGTTGTAAAAGTATGTTTATCTATATCTATAATTCTCAAAGTGTGTGTGTGTATGTTGTTTACGTGTTTCCACAGTTTTCATCTGATTTCGATGATTTTTTTTTTTGTTTGTTTCATCCAATTTGACTGGAAAAAATTACAAGTTTGAAGGTAAAAAACCGAAAAAACTAATTTTTTACACTTTGTGCAAAAATCAAAGGCAAAATGTAATCGTCTGTAAAAAACAGCGTACAATCAATTTAGAGAGTTGAAATTTAACGCAAAAGATTATTAGAATTATAAAAAAATTATATTATAAATAAAAATTATCGTATATTATTATTATGACGTTCCATGGAAGAGGTTCGTTCCTTGCAAGATTGAAAACGCAAAAACGGCCGTTTTCAGGACCACCCCCATTCAAATTGTTAACCCCCCTATTTGAAGATGTGCCTCAGTTACACCAAATTGTTGTTACTAATATTGATTTTCGGGTGGACTTGCTTTAAAATTAGTTTCTAATGAAGCTGATCCTATCTTTCACAAATAACTTTTGGCATGTGAGCTTTAAATTATGAAAAATTACCACAGAGAATTTTTAAAATTCCTACCTCCAGATTGATTTCCAGAATGTTCCCTAGGTATTTCATTGTGTTTATGTATCCTTACTGGAAAAAATAGGGCTCTTTTTGGTAAGATGTTTTGATCATTCCCCCCAAAGTAACATCCTGGTAACTAAACATATTTTTATCGTCCTCGGTATGACACTAAACTACATCCACGTCCCGGGTAAGGCGACAAAATTCATCCGACAGCTAGGCCTCTGATCAGGAGCTTTCGAGTAGCGTGGAACCACCTCTTAATTACTGGTGTACCCAGGACAACCCTGACCCGTGGTGGGAGCACCTAACCGGGTCCCAGTTATGAGCAAATAGTTAACCCCCACCCAAAGTGGTTCAAAACGCGATGAAAGTATAAAAATAGGCTTCAATACCAGGAATACTTTTTTGGGAAAAATTATTACCAGCAATACATTTTTGAAAAAAATTACCATCGATAAAAATCTTGTCGGCATTAAAAAAAACCCATTGAGGTTAATATGCCGTAAAACAAAACAAACTTATTAATGGAACGAGATCATTGTCCATCATTTCAGTGCAAATAAGTGCATTGGCTGTTAAAGTAAAGATTACCACCATTGTAGGTCATATACGTGATATGCCACACCCTATATCATAAGGAATGGATAGACACTTAGAGGCGGTGTAATGGTTAGCAAGCTTGACTCGACTGAATAGTGAGTTCGATACTCACTGGGTGCCCCTTACTTTCGGCTTTGTGCTACATCTAAGATACGTTTAGGAAATCGCTCTCAGAATGAATAGAGACATCTGCATTTCATTGGTGGGTAATCTATAATATGGTTCCACGAAACAGCACAAGACAGAAGTTCCAGCATTGGAACGTCGAACTGAACTTTTTATTTAGATCACTGGGGTAGACGGTTCTCATTCCACATGCCATCTGTTAATTCCCCTCTCCAAGTTCTCCACTGCCTTAAGCGGGTATTAATCTCACAATTTTTGGGTCCTGTCACTGGATCTAACTATTTTCCACTGAATATCATTTTTCATCCAATCATAGACACTACACGATTGTTTCTCTTCGCCTTCTTTCGTGTCGTATCTCTTTAGTACGTTGGGGAACACGGGTCTCCAGAGTTTCTCTTCTTTGTAGATATTAGTAACGATTATCATTCTGTTATGTCACCTAATCCTTGTTCTGCTAACCATTTGCACAATTTCGTTAGGTAGGTTATGCGTTGTTTTCCTCTGTCCCTCAATACGTCCCGTGAGTGTCAAATTTTCTAAGCCTTCTTTCCTAATTATGTTCGTTGGAAATTTCAAATGGATATGCTTGATTCATTTTGTTTCCATTTTGCCTAAAAACACCCGTCATAGCTCACATGTTCAGCCAATTGTATTCTCAGCATCCTCGGTGTAGAACAACATTTCTGATTACAGAATAAATATACATCGATGTAACTGCGAGGAAACAGTGAGCAAAGAAGTTTTAGAAACAATTTAAAACAAAATGGACACTTATATTTAAAATCAGAAAGAAACCATTTCTCTTTTTAACTCTCCTAAATATTATTCCGCCATCCATTTACCAAAGCTCGCTAGTTAGATTATGCATTATTTGTATCTGTCCCTCTTGCCTTGATTCTGACTAGCAAATATCAAACTTTCCAAGCCTTCTTTACACATCTTTTTCCCTAAAATTTCAAATGTCACCTTCTGATATTAAATATAAGTGTCCTTTATGACGAATTATTTGCGGATTCGAAGTGGTTGCGTTTGTTTTTTTTTTGTTTTTTTTTTGTTTTTTTTTTCCATTTCTAAGGGTGGCTCATTTTATTGTGGTGATATTTTGTGGGAGACTCGATAGGCAGGAAACAAATTTCAAACAATATTGTACCAATAGGAACAACATTCTATCGTCTTAACAAAACTAAATTGGACAGATATAAAAAGCGGCACAAGGAAGTGAGTATGTTACGTTCTAATACCCTTAGGAAAGGTAAGAAACCTCTGCTTCTAGCTATCCACCCCCAGCTATGTGTAAAATCGCAGGGGATGCTGGGTTCTATAGTCTTGGGTGGCAACCGGTCTAAGAGAAGGAAAACTCTGAATTTAAACCGGCCTGTTGTGTTCCATCAGGCTATATTGTCCATGAAACACCACTTCTACCGAGGCTGCGGTACGTCTGGCGCCTATATGACCCTGATGGGTCATGGGATCGTGTGCCTGATCACGATATTGAGATAACCTTATTCGTACGTATGCTGTGTGCAAATTCCTTTTGAGAATTAAAGAAGAGTTTCCGGTCAGTTTGTTACAGTTACCAGCTTAGACCATATTGTTTCCTGTGACATTTCCATGTGATGCGAGCCTGACTGGAGAACACGGAAGTTCCTATAGTGACATTAGAAAGCGATTTCTGATTGTACCTGTCCTCCAATTGGACATTTCACACGACTTCCACCCAATCAACATAATGCCCAATGACATTTCCCCACCCTCTGCAGTCTCTCTCTTCTAGTCGCATTTTCACGACAGAAGTTAACCGCCGATGCCTATTGCAGATGTTCGATCCTCCAATTGACTTCCAGTGTCAGAGCTGCGGTGATATGCCCAGTGTTGCAAAACTGACTTATGGTATTTTTTCCGATAAACATTTCTCTACGCTACAGTACTAGTTTGGCAGCAAGGTCTCATCGACTTACATTCGAACTCATTTACGGCAGCCAATGTTGGAAGTTTTCCTCGAAGATGAAGAAGAGACTCGAGGCAACGAAGGTATGGTTCTACAGATGGGGGTAGACTGTTTGTTATAGAGTAGTTTTCACAGTGGAGGCTTGTATTTCACTAAGTCTGTCCTAAAAGAGTCCGACGTACAAAACGTTAGGAACTTGCAATAGTAGTTAATGACGCAGCAATCTAGTTGTGGGGCTCATACATTAATGTCCGACATCGACTGACTCACTCAACACCACTGAGCCCAACTGTCGACCGCTACTACTACTACTACTACTACTTATTATGTGTGGGAGAGTCTATTAATAATAGAATAGGTACGTCAGGTATAACACTGTTCTAGTTCCACGTGCCATGTTTAATGGAAGTCTCCTGTTAATTCCCTTCTCCAAGTTCTCCACCGTCTTAACCAGGTGTTGAATTCACAATCAAGGAGACATGGCACAGTGGATAAAGGCGTTAGTTAGTTCCATTGACAGGACCCAAAGAGTGTGAGTTCAATACCTGGTTAAGGCAGTAGAGAACTTTGTGAGGAGAATTAACATATTGGAAGGTTTCCTCAAAGATGAAAAAGAGACTTGAGGCAACGGAGGTATGGTTCTACAGAAGGATGCTACGGATATCATGGACCAAGTATGTCAGAAATGATGAGTCTTTGTAGAGGATGCAAACAAGGAGGAAACTTATACTTAACATCAGGAAGAGGCAGCTGAAATTTCTGGGACACGCAATGAGAAAGAACGGCTTGGAGAATCTGATACTCGCAGGTGGAATAGAGGACAAAAGAGACAAGAGAAAGCAAGGCATGACAAATCTAGCGGGCTTAAGCAAGTGGAAGACAGGACGTAGCCTGGAGGAGGTGGCAGAGGAAGGAAACATATTGAGTGCTACAAGAGATAGGGAGAAGTGGAGAGCCATGATCGCTTAATTTCTGAAGGAACACGACACTTAAAAAAGAAGATATAACCTGTTTTATACTAAGTTTCTTTTCTTGCTCTTCTCGCTTGTGGAAATCCATTTCGGCTTTTTGATTTCCAGGCAAGCATAATCATCAAAACTTTAAATGCAATGTCAATCGTTATATTTCTCGTTCCTATTCTTTGACTGTTCTCGCTCGTTTATAATGTTTTATTTTTCTCATTCGTTCAAACTCACTGTCTTAGTGATTTTATTGCCTTGCTTGGGCTGAAATGATTTTAAGAAAAACTTTTTCCCTCAAATACAGGTTAATCCGTGCACTGTCATATCAATAGTGTACAGTAATATATATATATATATATATATATATATATATATATATATATATATATATATATACTAGCAGTAGAGCCCGGCGTTGCCCGGGATGTAACATTAAGAGATGGATCAAGTATCGACCATCATAAAGACTGACAAATAAAATTGACAAAGATTATTGTTTAAGGTTGACGGACATGCATTTCTTAATTTTTTTTTAAGAATTGGTCAAACCCAAACAAAACATTGTTTTCAATCGTTATGAGTCTACCGATTGAATAGAATTTCATTATAAACAATTGTCTTGTAAATTGAATTTTTAAAGCATTCTGAATGTAAAAATAAAAAAAAAAAGTGTACAAGACAATAAAAACACTACCTGCCAAAAAAAAAAAGTGAAGTTTTGTTGAAATTGGGTTGAAAAATGTAGGAAATCCGATCCCATATATAAACGAACACACACACACAAACAACCAACCTGGGTTTTTATAATAAGTATAACTCGTTATGAATAAGTATAACTCGATATGAGTTGTTCCCCTTTCATTAATGCTTCTTAATCGTGTTTTCAAATTGATTTAGTGCAAAAACAATTGTGTTTTTCTAATTTTTGGCGCTATCAGTACCACCGAAAGGTAATGTTACATCGTCCTGTGAAGTTTTGTTGAAATCGGTTGAAAAATGTAGGAAATCCGATCCAATATATAAACGTACAGACACACACACACACACACAATCTGAGTTTTATAATAAGTAAGATATATATATATATATATATATATATATATATATATATATATATATATATATATATGAATACTGATATTTTTTGAATGTAAAGCTGTTTGGTTATTTATTGATACGTTATATTTCATATTCTTATTGATTTTGTTATTATTATTGATTCTTATTATTTTGTTATTTAAACAATACTATCGACATATGCGTATGCCACTGAATTCTTCACGATGTCAATTTCGTCATAGAAAAGTTGATTTTTTTGTTTTTTGTGTGTGTGAATATAAATACTTTGTCTGAAGATGGTATAAAGAGTTCATGTTCTGTGTTATTTCATTTTATGCACTGTTACTAAGTTGACACTGAAATAATATAAGAAATGTAAACAATGAAATAAATAAGAATTTGTTGAAAATACTTACTGCCTAAAATAAGCTTGCATAAATGTCTTTAGGAGAATACACACACAATACATATATATATATATATATATATATATAATAAATTTACTATTTTAAAAATGTGGTTCCACCGCTAAACTGGAATTGCCATGTTTCAAAAACAGAAACAAAAAATTTCAAATCCAATTATAGAATTAAATTAAAATCCCCAGTCATGTTTCATTGTCAAACGAATTTTGGAATAACTTATTTTGAAATTTACTGTGTTTTATAAGCACATACATTCATAATATTAGTTCTTAAGGATACGGGGAAATTCTATCATTTTTATAACGGGTGGTAGGGTATTCATTTTCACTGACAACTATTGTATCAAAATATGAGTTACTTTCAAAATGAGGTTAAGTCAAGGAAGGGTAGGGGTGCCTGTTCAACGAATGATGATATACGTTCATCGCATGTTTTGATCTTTATCAACGACAAAAAAGTTTTTGGCACTTTTGTTTCGCCGTTAAATTTGTAATTGTATACATAAAGATTTATTTATGCCCTGTCGTTTTGCATTGAGCAGTGTTTTTCAAAAATAAAAATAATTAATAAGAACACCGGATTATATATCTTAGTGCTCTTTCTATTTATTTTAATATATATATATATATATATATATATATATATATATATATATATATATATATATATATATATATATATATATATATATATATATTGTCTACAGAATTGCTCCTTCACGGCATCATTCGCAGACAGTACTGTTTCGCTGTATCTCAGCCACTGGCGTGTTTATCTAAAAATAAACACGTGTAAGTTTGCCTTCATCGCTACCGTGCGTCAATGACTTATGGATAGAATCTCCGACACGAGATAAAGAGGTTTCGATCCTGGCTTCAGGCAATCGGATGTCTGGCCACAGTGATGAGCTGCGAAACGGCGAAACAGTCTTTCTGTGGATAACAATATATATATATATATATATATATATATATATATATATATATATATATATATATATATGCAGTTACATTTTGCAGTTCTTTTATAAATATTGACTTCCTTTTCTTCGTCTTTGTTCGTCATTTTGGATCTTGAAACGTTATTGCTGTGTTTTCTCTCTTGACGCTTTGTCATCTTCTATCCTCTACTCAAATTTTTCCTTTTGTAGCTTCCTATTTTTTATATTTAGAACAAATTTTAAATATAGCCGATTGAGATCACCTAACGTTTTTTTAGGGCCATTCTTGTTGGATTTCAATCTTACGTGAAATTTATGCCCATTTCTAATGTTATAATTCCCAGCACTTTTGCTGAAGCCATGTTATCTTGAAATTAATCAAGTCCAACAGTTTGTTAAGGTTTTCAAGCACGATTCACAATGCAGCTTAATTTACATATTCAGGGTAGGGGTATGGTGGGGTTTTCTTTAGAAACGCAAATTACAAAATAATTGCATTTCTTTTGCATGTTTTCCGCTGCTTGGCCTTGAAAAATAATCTATTAATTTGTATAATTTAATTTAATAATTTAAGGTATTTTACAAAAATGTTCAGCTATGAAACAAGAATGGCTCTGCTTTTTCTGTGATTTATTTATTTGGTCTGAAGAAGAATGAAACCCTGAATGGACAAACCAAAAATGTAATTCCAAAGCTTAAAAACAAAGAATTAAAATTTCAATAGAGAATCACAATGAATTAATTCCATTTCGATTGCATTTTCACCCTCATTTTTGTTCTATCAACGCAAAATATTTTCATCATGATATTTAGTATGGCCAAATGTGTCCAGCTATCTTTAATGAAAAACAAAGATTATTGGGCAAAAGCTGGAATGAACAGTCAGAACCGTTTTATTCTATGGGAAATTTGGCAGAAACTTATATTTAGTTTTATATATTTTTGTATGGTAATTTAGTAAGTTATGTGCCATGCGTGATACAGGCTTAGGCGAACATGTATCTTTCGATATATAACTCTGATAAAGCTTTGAAGAAATGGGACAAATGAAAAACCGTTTCATTCAAATTTGATTTGATTACGCGTTTCACATTTCTAGACTTCATCATCGACATGAAGTGAGAATTATAAAGAAAAGATAGGTAATAAATATTAACGGTTTTGTCAATGTCATTTCCATTCTTTTCTTTCATAACGAGTAAGATTTCCTTTCTCTCTTCTTCCTCCCCGCTTCCTTCTTTCTTTCTACTTCCTCTTTCTTCCCTTCCATTCATTTGTCTTTCATAGGCGATATCTTTCGTTTTTCTTCTCTTTCTTTTAAATGTTCCGACACGATTTTTTCTTTTCAGATTCATATTCTTCATTCTTAGCTTCTTTGTCTTTTTTCTTTCTTCCTTTCCTTTTTCTTTCTTTCTTTCTTTCTTTCTTTCTTTCTTCATCTTTTTTCTTTCTTTCTTCCTTTCTTTTTTCTTTCTTATCTTGCTTTTTTATTTCTTTCTTCTTTCATTCTTCATCTTTCTTTTTCTTTCTTTTTTCTTTATCTTCCTTTATCTTTCTTTTACTTTCTAATCATGATTTCTTTTTCTTTCTTTCTTTCATTCTTTTTTCTTTCTTTATCTTTCTTTTGCTTTCTTTTTTCTTTCTTTTTTCTTTCTTTTTCTTTCTTTATCTCCCTTTCTTTTTTCTTTCTTTCTTATCTTGCTTACTTCTTCATTCATTCTTTCTTTCTTTCTTTCTTTTTTCTTTCTTCATCTTTCTTTTTTTTTTCTTTTTTCTTTCTTTTTTCTTTCTGTTTTTTCTTTATCTTCCTTTCTTTTTTCTTTCTTTCTTATCTTTCTTACTTTTTCATTCTTTCTTTTTTCTTTCTTTCTTTCTTTTTCTTTCTTCATCTTTCTTTTTCTTCCTTTTTTCTTTCTTTTTCTTTCTTTATCTTCCTTTCTTTTTCTTTCTTTATCTTTCTTTTTTTCCTTCTTTCTTTTTCTTTCTTTATCTTGCTTTCTTTTTCTTTCTTTCTTTTTCTTTTTTCTTTCTTCCTTTTTTTTTTTTCCTTTTTCTTTTTTCTTTCTTCCTTTTTCTTTTTTTTCTTTCTTTTTTCTTTCTTTCTTTTTCTTTCTTTATCTTTCTTTTTTCTTTCTTTTTATTCCTTTCTTTTTCTTTTTGTTTCTTTATCTTTCTTTCTTTCTTTCTTCCTTTCTTCTTCCTTCCTTTTTTCTTTCTTTATCTTTCTTTCTTCTTTCTTCCTTTTTTCTTTCTTTCTTTTCTATTTTTCGTGCATCTTCTCATCCTGTCTTTTTCCCGCTATCTCTCTCTCTCTTCCCTTTTTTTCTTCTCCACCCTCTTTCTACTCACTTTATCTTTTCCTCTACCTATTTCGCCTCATGCATCAAAGACGTTAACCTTCACCTACAATCAACATATTGCTGTCAACCGTTTTCATCAGTTCGGCTCCAGGACAAGAAAACTCCTTGTTCTTGAGTAAAAGTAATCGATATCATCGAAAATTTAAAAAATATCACTTGGTCTCCTTAAAAAATAAATAAATAAAATATCTCTCAACCGATATTAAACCACGTCGTCCTTAAACTTTATTTCCTAAATTAGTAATTAATCTAATCAGCTTTTTAATACCCGATTATCTTTCACTCGATTAATCTTCAAATCGGCCATTATTACTCGTTTCTGATTGGTCTTTTTGTTCCTTTCCTCCTTCTCTTTCTCTCTCTCTCTTCCTCTCTCTCTATCCTTTTTAACCAATATCCTTTTTTAGTCTTACCCTCTTTTATTTACCTTCACGATTTTTTTCTCTCTCCATCCGTTTTTTTGACTGCTTCCACTTTCTTTCACATTACAACTAATTAAAAAATCAGCAAAGTAAAAGAACGCTTTATTAATTGTATGAAACTGAATCGGATGTTAAAAAGACTGCGATAAATAAGAGGGAATAGATCAGGTCCAAGAAATCATACGCTCTCTGATCACAAGCGATGACAATAAATAATTTTACATTTAATGGACTACTATTAACACGATTAGAATTCAACAAAATTTCCAAACATATAACTTTTAATACATATTCTTCCACTTCTTTAATCCTATATATAAGCGGATAACTCTTCCTTTATCAAAGGCTTAAAAATGATTCGGTCTTCAATGGATTCAATGGTTTTTCACCACTCTCGTTTTACTAACGTTAACACAGGCGAGATTTAATATTCAGTACCGTGATTTTCTTAAATCTTGACCTTCTTCTCGTGGAAATATATAAGAAAAATATTAACTCAATGATTTTTCACCACTCTCGTTTTATTAACGTTAACACAGGTGAGATTTAGTATTCAGTAACGTGACTTTCTTAAACCTTGATCTTCTTCTCTTGGAAATAATTAAGAAAAATCTTAAAATAAGGACAAAAGATAGCAGACTGAAAATTTGTAAAAAAATATGTAACGTTGGTTATGATGAAATATTTTTTTGTATTTAATAGATTTATGTTGTCTGAATTTACTTTTTAAAGTACCCAATATTTTATTGTCCTGATATTAATAAGGAAAGAAAAAAAAACACTTTATCTCGAGCAAAATAAAATCCTATGAAAGTCATAGCCATCTGGGAGAAAACGGTTGCGGTGACTCTTTCTTCATGATAAACAAAAGAAAAAATCTTATATTTTTGTTCAGTAATTGTGCACACCAAATACGAGTTGTGTACTTAAAATGGTTTGAACTTGTATAATAGACATATGAACAATGTTGCTCTTTTATATATAAAAGCACTCATACAGACATATCTACACAGAAGGTCCTAAGTTTACAGCGTACTCGGCGACAGCGTTTCGTGGATACAACGCTATAGGAGGAAGACGGCGTTGTTTCTTCAACGGCAGTACGCCATACTGGATTGTGCTACATTCGCTCTCTTGCTTGTCTCGTTTTTTCGGGAACTGTTTGCCCTTTATTATGGCTTCCGAGCGTAAGGAAGACTCGCAGGTGATTATGTAGATCAGTTCCGACCTACGTCAAAAATCAGGTTACGTCACGCCGTAGGAACGGAACACCGATGTAAGCCCAGGACCCTATGTATTGCACTAAAAATGCATATTGAGAAAATATATTTATTTTGTATAACAAAAAATTAATACGATCACGCACACACACAACACACGCAGACACACACACACACACACACACACACATATATATATATATATATATATATATATATATATATATTATTTTTATTATTATTTTCTTTGATTTCTGGCGTTTACACATTTCTTTACGGGTCCCGCCCAGGGACCTAAGGTTTAAAATGGCATCATGACACTTTCCACTGAAAAAAAAATTACATAGATAAAGCTCTTCGTAAAGTGTGGGCTGTACTTGTCAGAACAATTTTTTGTATCTCCTTGAGGCATGGACTTCCAGGAATCCCTTCAATTAGTCTACTGCAATCTTTTCCAATCAGTCCTAGGGCTCCAACTACAACAGGGATTGTTGATGTTCCCATATGCCACATTTTCGAGATTTCGAGATTTCTATTTCAAGGTCCTTGTATTTTGACAGCTTTTTGTATATCTTCAAAGATACATTGCAGTCAGCAGGGACTGTCATATCAATAAGGAGGCACCGTTTTTGTTTGTGGTCTTTAATAACAATATCTGGGCGGTTGCCTTTGATTGTTCTGTCAGTGTGTATTGTGTAGTCCCATAGAATTGTAACAGATCCTATCTCAGTAACCGGGTCTGGGTGGTGTTCATACCATTTTCTTTCAGTTTCCTTCCCGTAGAAGTTGCAGATTCTCCAGTGCAGATATTGGCCCACTCTGTCATGTCGTGTTTTATATTCAGTGGGTGCCAATATCCTGCAACCTGATACAAGATGATCAATCGTTTCTGGATATTTATCACAGAATCTGCATTTTGGGCTGACACAATATTTCAGTATATGTGCTTGATAATTCCTAATTAGCAAGCATTGGTCCTGTGCAGCAAGGATACAGCCTTCAGTTTCAGCTTTCAACCCTGCACTACGTAGCCACTGATGGGTACGGGTTTTGTTTACGTCAGCTTGTTTGGTACGGGCAGGGTATTGGCCATGAAGTGGTTTATCTTGCCATCGCTTCTGTATCTGGTCGGTTGCATTCGTCTTTGCTGTCTTTTTAAAGTATTTTGCAGTTTCAGCCGTTGTATTGTGTTGTAGTTGCATCTCTACGCCCATTTGAAACTCCATTTTGAATTTGTTGGCTTCTTTTATTACGGAGTAAAGATTATTATTATTATTATTATTATTATTATTATTATTATTCGGTCGAACAAACTCGGTCATTCATGCGTCTCACGCCAAACGTCACGGCCCTGTATCAGATTACGAAGGTAGCATTATGTGTTGTAACATATTTGGTCAGTGTAGGTGACTGCTAGGCGACTAAACCGTCATGGATGTTGTCTCCAGGAGATCTGAGTGTATAGGTTCTATCAAGTTTAAACTCAATGGTTTTAGTTAATCTCCACACGGTGGCATCATACTTTAAAACCGACTCTAGAGGGGCGAGAATGAAACCCGATTTAATTTAGTCTGGTAGATCAGATTTTCAAATAACATCGATTTTATTCAAGGCGGACTCTGTATCTATGCCTCTAAAGCTGAAGCCATAAGCTTCAAGCAGCAAAGCTTAATACAAACTGCCTCAGGTGAAAGAATGAAATCCGTCGAATCTTTTACATATCTAGGAAGCGAAAAAAATTCTGAGAAGGATGTGAAAAATCGCATAGATAAGGCAGGCATATATATATATATATATATATATATATATATATATATATATATATATATATATATATTGTTATGGTGGTGGCATACTGCTGGCTCGGAAAAGTTCGCGTGAACAGGTTCTTAAATTTGAAAGCTTAGCGAATCAGTTGTTAGGTTATCCGAAAACAAGATGCAACAAAGATAAGATGCAGTTTTAACAACAATCAGGATTGTAGTTAAAAACAGTAAATTAACCTGGCTAAGCAGGCGCTTTCTCTGTAGCTAGAATTGGTACGTCAGGCTGTATGGCGGTTCCGTGTGGGATTCTGGTTCGATTCCTGCCAGAGCACATATTTTCTTTGAGAGTTCTCTGGCATTCAGCCTGGTACAGTTGTTAATACTATTTATTATGAACAGAGCATTTACTTAAATATTTGTATCTATAAAAATAACGTATAAACGAAAAAATACATTAAAATATATATATATATATATATATATATATACACGTCTCACAGACGTGCCGCTGCCTCCCTCTGTCTTTTTTTACAAATACTTTCACAGTAACTGCTCCGATGAGCTGCTTTCGCTGGTTCCCTTAGTTCATGAATTTAAGCGCTCAACTAGGCTGGAATCTCACTCTCACCCTTTCACTATAGAAACTGTTAAATGTAGATTTCTCTTCTACTCCGATAGCCTCATGTCTCGCACTTCTCGCCTGTGTGACTCCCTCCCCATTTCTTGCTTTCCTGATAACTATAATCTCCAACTATTCAAATGTAACGTCAATCGACATCTCCAGATTTGTTAATCTCTCCCCTAACCGCCTCTTTATCCTTTCCTTTATCACTCCTCTTTGTTCTCGCTCCAGCTCTGTAACCCCTTGTGTGCTAGTAGATTCCCCCCTTGCTTGGGGTTGAATACTTTAAAAAGAAATAAATATATATATATATATAATTTCTTTTTTTGTATGTATAACGACTTGTAGGCGCGCCATAAAATATCCCTCACTGGGAACTAACTAAAAGGATGACCGCCAACATGAGCCTTGAAATAGATACCCTACCCAACCTTAGCAAAACCTCTCAGAAGATGATGAATCTATAGATAAGAATTAACTCTCTGACCACTTAACGAAGAAAACTAGCCTAGCCACTCCGACAATAACAGATATTATGACGGACCATGCCTAAAAACACACGTAAACCAAGAGATAGCTTATTCCTAAAATTTCGCTTGAAAATGAAACGGGACTAAACACCTCAATTCAACTTAATTTTAATAATTATTTGGATGGTTTCGGCTCTCGTTTTTGAAACATGAGAACTCTTATGTAGCGAAGGAATCACATTTTTAAACAAAAAATATAATAAAGCTCTTCTTCTGTATGGAGCACTGTCTTCTTAAAAATAAAAACAAAAATACTAAGCAACTCCGGATTATGCACCCAACATGTTCTTTTCTATTTTCTGCATACCTGCGCACTTATATATATATATGGGGATGCGTTTAATTAAAGACGATTGACAAAGTACTGCGATTAAGCTTTTTTATTTAATTTTCTTGTAATCGAAGAAGTATTTTCTTTTCTGGACAAAAAGTGTAAAATTTGTCCAAATTTTCTGGATATCCGAGTGATTTCGCCTATTCTTTTAGCCACTATCCAGAATAATTTTGATTTTTAAGTGAATGTATGGATTTTTGTATGTATCTAATGTTATAGGAATGTATTATTTTCCTAACACGGTCAATAAAACATTCCGATATCTCGTCATTAATTAAACTAGTTTAAAAGAGGGTGTTGTTGCCCAAATACGTAATTACATCTGTATTCATTCTTTTAGTTGTTTGTGTTTTAGACTTCTTTAAGTGGACGCGTTATTTGCTCCTGATGATACTTCAATAAATGATTAAAATATTTATGTTGCTACCATTGTTCTTTAGATGTTATTGTCTAAAGCGAGGTGCTGAATGTAGCCGTTCGTAAAATATCAAAAGTACATTATCTGTCTATATTTCAGAGATTAGGTATTATATACACTATTTACATTATTCAGACTATTGTCCTCATCTTTGTCGCCATATTTACTACAACGTTTCGGCCT